AAAAGTTTAGTAAAAATATCTGATTTCATTCTCCATGTAAATAAGCCTTTTAAAATGTTTTTGAAAAAATGTTTTTGAATTATCTTTTGGTCGTGGATGACTGTGGACATATTTAGCCTGTTCTCATTGTAGACAGGAATTTGCTTCCTCTCTATTTTTAGGAAGAACAAAGTTTACAGTAGAAGCATTGAAGCAAAAATTACAAACATGACAACTGAATACAGTAAATGGAACTGATTCGTTTGTGCATGATGTACAAAATAAACATTGAGATACGGTGCTTAAAATTATTCAGCCATTCAAACTACCAGAGAAAAAGTTAATCGACTTATACGACTAGGTACTACTTTATAATATATTTTACAATATATGGGGTAAATTATGTAAAGATTACTTGTATATTAAAGGTTATATTAAAAAGTCATATTAGTTATATTTAACTAATATAGGTTGTGTTAGTTATAGTTAGGTTATATTAGTTATATTAAAAAGTTATATTAATATTACTTATTTAAAATTAAAGGAGCACCAAGGTAAGTATAACATCTTCGATAAGTAGTTATACTTCAATAACCAAATAGAGTGTTCATATCCTGTACTTGTAAGGTAAGAAATGAACTAATTATAAGATTTTTACATGTTAATTCTCACATTGTGATTGAATTAACGGAATTGCGTGAAATGAGTTCAGCTCGACTTGTCATTGCATTGTTACTGTTGCTACTGTCCATGCTTAAATCTAACTTAAGTTCCATGCTAACCATTGTTATTTAATCTGAACCTTATCGTTTTTCAGTTTTCAGGAACTCTAAAACACAAAGTCCTAAAAAATCAGTAGGGCCATTTCCCTTATTTCATATAACAGTTTCTTCATAATATTTTTAAAATAAGATAATCATATAGCTATATGCATATTTTCTCATATTGTAGATGTGTCGGATTAGATAATCTTTTGGCTCGTTCTTATTTCGATCCACGTGACGGTAACTCAAAAGAGAAGCGAAGAATTGCTATTGCATAAGTTGACTTTAAGCTTTGTCAAAACAAATTCATTTTGTGCCAGTAGTTTACGTTTTTGTAGTTAGTTTACAGCATGAATTCCTCATGTTCCAGTTTCTCATTTGTGGCTTTAATTAAACCTGAAAATGGTAATTTCATTACATCCACATTATCTCCACGTGATGATTGGATACACGGTGTGGGCGAGGACTATGTAATTTATTGTTCTCCATTAATTACTGGCAATCTGGTAGGCACGTTACCGCATAGTTTTTGTAAATGAGAGAAATAAATAAAGCAAAATGATCAATTTTTTAGATGAAGAAGAAGGCGAGAACAAGAAAGAAGGTAATGATGGAAGAGGATTAAAAGCCTGGTAAAATATCAGACCATCGCGACCTTGGATTATAGGAAGTGGATCTGGCATCTTAATAAGGATAATAAGGTTAAAATATACTGTATGAGTAAGAATGAGATAACCAAGATGAGGGAAGAATGCACAGGTATGGTTTACAGGTAGGTGTGGGACTTGTGTATTCTCTGTGGGCACAGAGGCAATAGCTAAGAAGTTTTAGAATGAGTTTACGGATCATAGCTTTATGTTAAAAGCTGGGTTTTTTTTTAACATGGGTTTTGTAAATCTTAACTTTTCCAAATATTTCCATTCATTGCAAATTATATAATTGTTACGGGTGACATTGAGTATGAGAAAGCTATTGCTAAAAGAAAAGAAAAAAAAGCTATTGCCAAAGATATTTCAAATTAAAAACTGTTGCCGATTTTCTTCAGTCGTGACAAAAACTGAAGGTTCTTTCTGCCTCTTCAGTTGATAGTACCTCGAACTTGGGTAATTAAACCTTTTATTACGATAAATTTATTAATACAACAACGAACTTGCAAATACGACATTGATACAACAAATTAATAACGAATACACAAGAACAAAAAAAGATAAATCACGCCCCGTGTCTTATATCCAACCGACCTCAATGAAACACATTTGAAAAAATGGATTAGTGCTGAGGATCCTCCACTTCTTCGACTGGGAGGATCCTTGTACTTGTAACGTTTTATAATTACAAGAATTAGCATCCTTATGGAGCACCCATTGGTGTTGGATTCTTTATTAGAACAAATGTAAGACGATATGAGCATGTAAAACAAAGATTGGCTTTCAAAAAAAAAGGGGGGGTTATTGTCCCTTTGTTTCTACTTGCGATATCAGCGACAAAAATATCATTCACATAAACAAGCACAAATACGCACATGCACCAATGTTGCACTTACCTTTCCCAAAGGAATGGACAAACTTGGAGCAATCAAAAGGAGAAGTAAGGTTAAGAGGAAAGAAGGTGAATTTCACTGGGAAAGTATACTTCTCTTCACATTCCATCACTTAACGTTATATAATGGTTATATAATCCACCCCAGTTTTTCGGAGGATTTTGGGGTATTTTCCGGCTCCGCCTGGAAATGCTTACAATTATCACCTGATCCGTATCTTAATCTGAGGTCTTATTAAGAAGAGAAAGGAGTTCATATCATAATCAAGCTTCGAAGCATTTAATTTTAATTGCTGCAAACTGCATGATAATACCAAGTAAGGATCGTATGTCATTGATTTCAGAGATTATGAAATGATGCGAAATGAAAATCGGTGAAATTGATAACATACATGATATATTTCATATTAGATCAGGCGGTGGTTTAGAATTACAAAAATTTCATAGAAGATACGGAAAACTACGCTTGCAATGGATATGGTATGTAGGTAAACCTATATATTAACCTATTACATCCTAACATATCCATTGAAAGCATATATGTCCGTATTTCCTATGAAATCCTTGTAGTTCTGATTTGCGAACCTAAGGAAAAATTAGATCAGACGTGTTAAACCTAACTACTACTCTATAGAAGTATATTTTCATAGTATCACGAGTACCTTGGATTGAAAGGTTTGACTCAAAGTTTGACGCATCTTGACTTATTTAGGATTTAATAAGTTACATAAACAAGTTGCACAATTGTTGTTTGCTTTCAGTCAGTTTTTTATTGCATAATTTGTCGGCTATACCCATTGATTCTTTTCATTGCTTTCAATTTTCAGCCAATTCTGGAACAACAGAATTGACGACTCGATGCAATCTTTAAACACGCTATTTGTTAAAGACAGGGTGGTTGGAAGAAGATAGAATTAAAGAGAAGATACGAAAAAAAAACAAAAACAGAAAGAGGAAGACAAGGAGGGGAATGTACGTGCGGTATGGGAAGAACATGGCATGTGTGACTAATCGGAAAATGATATCTACCCGTGGGATAGAATGAGATCGAGGATTG